GAGCCCTATGACGTGTCTTTTTTCAAACTAGCCTTGCGGAGAGTACTCAATGGTAGGCAGTGACTTGGCTGTGTCCTTGGCATTGCTGACGTCCATGAGTGACGCTGACCACTTACCATCCGGTGGGCCGTATGCTCGTCTGACTATAAAGGCTATTTTTTATTTATGTGTGTTTTTATATATGTTTTATTTTTTACAGCCCACCTGGTGTTAAGTGGTTACTGGAGGAAGGATTAGTCTAGTATCGTTTTTCCTTAGCCAATGCTGAATATTTTGTCACGCCACGAACTACTGCCATGAATATTTGGATTCATTTTCTGAAGCTTTGCTTGTATCCGAAGTGTTATAATAAGATCAGATTATAAACATTTATGAGATTAGATTCATTTAAATGATTTCATTGGCTTCGTTTTATTACAGAGGTTAGCATTTCCGTAGATAGCAAATCTAAACAAATTATGGGCTTAGAAACTGCGCGAGTGAGCGATAAACATGTTTTTTTTTTGCGTAAATAATATATGTTTTATTTTTTATTGCTTATATGGATGAACGAGCTCACGGCTCAACTGATGTTAAATGTTTATCTGAGCCCATAGAAATCAACAACGAAAAAGCCGCCATAAGAACTCATGTCTCAAGCCTTAGCTTAGTCTCAGTTTTATACATAGTAGAACGGCTGCCCCACCCTTCAAACCGAAACGCATTACTGCTTCACGGCCGAAGTAGGCACGGTGGCACTAGGTATCATGCAAATGTACATTTTGTTTTACTCTTTTTACCTGATACTTCATTTAGGCTTGAAGAATTACTGGTGGCACGGAGGCCTTTCCAGTTTCACCAGGACAGGTAGGCGAGCAAAGGCTCAGCCAGGAGGGGTGGGATTTGCTAACAGCTGCCCGAGCGCCTCCTGATCTACCAGCTCAAGAGCAGCTGCTTCGCTAATGAATCTACTACCGGATCGGAATCGCGACCCGCTGAGAAGATCCGGCGAGAAACTCAGCGAGCTGATTCATGGGTTAGGTTGCACGGCGAACTCTTTGTCGAGTTCGACGAGTACGGTTACCGGGGTCCCTAAGCCTGCTCCTAGTGTTAGAGTGATACTTCAATTGATGCGTTAAGGCATTGTGGTACTTCTGATCTCCGGTATTCATTTCTGATAAGATGAGCTGTTATTTCGTTACATACATGAATTTCATTAAAAAAAACTCACTTTGTGTATTAATTTTGATGACATGCTTAAATATTAACATTGTCTCCTAAAGATAAGGTTCAAATTAGATAAAATAGTTTAAAAATTTGAAAACATTTCATGTAAATTAGATGATTAATAAGTTGTTAATACTTCTTCTTTCCAACAAAGTCGAAATAAAGGAAATGTCTATGAGACTTGCGTGGATGTCTTAGGTTAACTGTAAGATACGCTAAATTGATTATATCCTTTTTAACTTCTAAAAATTATAACTATTAATATATCTTTTTACTGGTGGTAGGACCTCTCGTGAGTCCGCGCGGGTAGGTACCACCACCCCGCCTATTTCTGCCGTGAAGCAGTAATGCGTTTCGGTTTGAAGGGTGGGGCACCCGTTGTAACTATACTGAGACCTTAGAACTTATATCTCAAGGTGGGTGGCGCATTTACGTTGTAGATGTCCATGGGCTCCAGTAACCGTTAAACCAGTAAGCTCCAGTAACCGTAAAAGTTAATATCAGGTGGGCTGTGAGCTCGTTCACACATCTAAGCAATAAAAAAAAAACGAATTTAAAATCGATAAACAAAACCTTTTGCTTTGAAAAAAAAAACGTATTTATTATGTTTTTTGCTATCACAAGTTCTTTACACGCATATCAGAATTATGTTCGAAGTGGAAGAAAGCTTCAGGAATTGTTTTGCTGCAGATACCCTCTCAGAGAATCTGATATTACGTGGTTATCGAAACTTCTAGACGTCTTCTCATAACGTCGACATTCATCATTGGTTCGAAGTTCTAAATCTAATGAACAACGGCAATTCCATTCTTTAAACCAGATACATAATTTCTCCGAGGCAGAAACTAATAGAATGGTGACACTCACCGGTGTGTGCTCATAATACGCGCTAGCTCCAGCAAAGATGTTTTGTAGCGAAATCAAGTAAGAGAAAGGTGTAGATATCCATATATGTATATATTTTGTGCTATTCCCGGCAAAAGAACCTAAGCCAAGCCTATGTGACCGTACGTGATCACTATCGTTCACGAACATTCTATGCCCGAGGCAGAGATAAGCTACTACTACCGTAGACTCTACACATCTTATTTGAATAGAACACCCCTAAGAAAACTAAAAGACACGAATTCAATAAAAATCCATCGATATTCGAATAAGCATGGACCCTGTTTGCGATGCGATAATTATCATCCTAACATATCAAACAGACCAACCACCCCTCACTAGAAATTTCACCGTATGGGTGAAAAAAATATTTTTTGGTTCGTTTTATTCATTAATATTGTAGTACACATATTATAAGTGAAACTGCTATGCATATGTTTAAAATGCTTGAATTAGATTGATATGTTTCTATTTATATATCTATCTATCGGTGTTTAGTTTTCGAAATTAAAGACTTCCAAAAAGATTAATTTGAAAATTTGATTGATACAATATTGTCATTAATTCGGCATAATATCCTAACCAGGATGACCAGGGTATAAAGTTTTTTATTTTTATTTCGACTCACTACTAAACCTTTTTTAGGTAGTTGAGCTCTTTTTAGCTGCCTTTTTTCGCCAAAGATATATAACCCTTCGAGACAGTACCTACTGGCGGTAGGCAAAATTTTTTTTACAATCTTCATAATATATGTCTGTCTGATATATATCTGTGAGCTGTTAATTGTGAAAGTCAAAAACGAATATTAAGTATGAAATATTTAGATTTGAGTTGTCTGCTTGATTCATTTTAAACAAAAGTGATTATTCTAAGATTTGAAATAAAAACTTGAATCTCGATCAAAGGATCCAAGTAATTTTTAAAGAGAAATCGCGAGAGAAATATAGAGAAAGCATCTTAATGTCAAGAAGATTATATTTGTTTTATAAAATAATACACTTAGGTCTCATTTCTGTAGTTCAATGTATAAGTACAGAGTTGATCTCCCATTTATTTAGGACTTTCCATATTAAAACATCTACGTCTTGTATTCGCAATATATACATAATGTTTGTTTTGAGTCAGACATCGCGAAAACATTTTGTTTGGTCAAGACTTAAAGTGCTCCGGTTCTCTTAACGGATGTCATTATCTAACCTTATCTATTTTAATTGTTTCGTCGTGTATAAAAGGACGTTTTTGTCGTGTTTTAAGAAAATTGTAACGAACGAGCTCGTACGACCAACAAGTATAACGAACGAATTTTGCTTTCTATGTGCTACTGAAGACTTTCAAAATGAAAACCATTTACTTCGTTTTACTAGTGAGTATTAATTTATAATAACTGTTCGTACCATTTTTTGGAAAGAAGTTCCTTGCGGGACGATGCGAAGGGGTACCTTAACCGGGAAAAAACGTCCGTAACGTAATATTTTTATTAGTAGTGCACACAGTGTACGACTTAACTTTGTAATAATGTACAAAAAGTAGCATATTTTTTTATCATTCATTGACCATGGTCTCAGAGCGTTCGTTAGCGCAATACACTAACTCTTATGCAAACAATCGTGAATGAAGTGTACCACAATAAGTTCGCACGTTACCGAATGACCGTGGGTTGTTGCGAAACCTCCAGTTTTATTTTCTTCATACCTCGAATAGAACTTAAAATTAATATTTTCATAATAAGGAACTTCGTTACTATCCGGTGTCCCACGATACCACACATCTTTTTTTTTGTTTATCATTATGAACGTCAAACTTTTTAACATTATTTCTAGTTTGGTCCTTCGTATATTTAGCAAAAGTTTTTACTTCGATTACTCAAAACTCTCATTTTTGTTCCAGATAAGCGTCTGTGCGGTTAGCGCAATATACTTGCCTGACGATTCGAATTCAGCTGATCTGGATAAGTATAAGTCAGAAAGTTTTGGGTCTAAATTATATTCCGAAAGCAAGAGTTATGACGATGACAACGACAGTGGTGACAGTGAGAGTGATAATGAAAATGATAGTAAATATGATAGTAAAGATGATAGTAAAGGTGATAGTAAAGATGATAGCGACTACTCAAAGGATTCTAATAGCGTAGAAAAACTCGAAAAAGAACGCCAGAAACTTCTCAAAAAGGAAAAAGAATGGATTCTTAAAAAAGAAAAGAAAGAACTAGAAAGAAATCTTAAGAAACAAAAGAAGGAATTAGAAAAGAACCTTAAAAAGGAAAAGAAAGAATTAGAGTTGCTCTATAAAAAAGAAAAGGAAGAAAAAGACTCAGAATCAAAAAGTATTGAAAATTTATACAAGCAGGAAAAAATATGGGAGAAGGAAGACAAGAAGTCAAAAAAATTAGAGGCCAAGGAAAAAAAGAAGCTTGAAAAAGATGACAAAAAGAAACAAGCGAAAAAGGGCAAGAAAAACCAAAATAAAGAAGTAAATGTGGATATTGATATAGACCAGGATTCTAATGAATTCTTGAATGTCGATATTCTTGTTGAAAAAATCTACAATGGCTACGGTTTAACTGATTTGAATACTGACATAGAAAAGAAAATTGCTTTACAAAAATTCCTTGAGGTAGAGTTGGGAATTAGTGCAAAAAGTACAATCGAAGAGCGTAATCAAGCCATTTTAGATTTTGTAACAAAAATTTCAGTCAATACTCAGACTAAAGATGTAGCTCAAAAGAATCTTTTTGACAAATTGAATATTCTTGGTGTTAATTACATACTGAAAGAGCTAGAAAATGAAATCATTGAGCTTGGATCAGATGAACTTAATAAAATTACTAACCCTTTGATAAATACAGTCGATCAAACTGTTAAAGAAAAGACTTATTTAGTGCAAGCTGCTTTAAATGCTTTGACTGGATTTTATGCAAAGCCCAAATCTTCTGAAGGCTGGATTAATGACGTCATCCCCTTAACGTCTGACACAGCATCATCATCATGGGATGCTGCAACATCAAAATCTGACGCATCGTTCAAGGCCGACGTAGATTCTGAAGCTTCAGAGACAGCGCTACCAGCATCTGACGCTGAGAAGTCTGAAACTAACACTGTTAGTCTTTGGAACGATGATGTAACTCCTTCCAAGAATGTTAAGTCAGTAGCTGCGGATGTCTCAGTGACAGCTGACGGTAATACTGCCACTGTAGATACAGAAACAAGTTCGTCGACTAGTGTAGCGGGAGCTACAGTAGAAATATCAAGTAAAGGCCCAGTCGTGGATTTGATCACAGATGCTGCAATTTCAACTACAGCAGTAGTAGCAAAAGATGCTTCTCCCTCAGAAGGCAGTGAATATGTTTCCGCAGACACTTCATCTTCATCTGCGATTGTTACGATTCGGTCCGATGAACCAACAGTAGATGGCAAACTAATTAATGAGGAGCCTAAAGGAACCATTAATGATGAGGTGACACCCGCTGTAAATGAAGTTTCAAGTGGACCAAGTACTATTGTTGCAGCACCTGCTGTTGTTGTAAATGATGTAATTGAGTCTCCAACTGGAGTAAGCGCTACCGAAGTAATTAATGATGAGGTATCGGTAGGTTCCAAAACTATTGTTGCAGCACCTGCTGTGGTTGTAAATGATCCAATTGAGTCTTCAACGGGAGCAAGTGCTACCGAAGTAATTAATGATGAGGTATCGGTGGGTTCCAAAACTATTGTTGCAGCACCTGCTGTTGTTGTAAATGATGTAATCGAGTCTTCAACGGGAGCAAGTGCTACCGAAGTAATTAATGATGAGGTATCGGTGGGTTCCAAAACTATTGTTGCAGCACCTGCTGTTGTTGTAAATGATGTAATTGAGTCTTCAACGGGAGCAAGTGCTACCGAAGTAATTAATGATGAGGTATCGGTGGGTTCCAAAACTATTGTTGCAGCACCTGCTGTGGTTGTAAATGATCCAATTGAGTCTTCAACGGGAGCAAGTGCTACCGAAGTAATTAATGACGAGGCATTGGTGAGCTCTAAAACTATTGAAGTAGAAACCACTACAGCAGCCGAGGTTGTGGCTGAACCAGCAGTTTTAAATACCGAAGCGCCACAAGATTTGAGTACGAAAATTCTCGCAGATGCTGTACCTGAAGCTGTAATTGTAACAGCCCCAGAGGCTGAAACTGCTATAACCACAGGATCTCCGACAGTTGACCTAGAAACTATTAAGCCAGAAGTAGTTACAGAAGAAATTGTGGTTGTTGAATCGAAACCCGTAGAAACGGTCACTGCAGAAACCGGAGCAACTTTGATTGAAGTCAAATCTCAATAAAAACTATGAAAATGCAAAAGTTTAAGATCAATATATTATTTAATCGTTTTATAATTTTGTAAAAGAAGTAAAATCTACTAATGAATATTATTTTTAATATAAGAAGCAGCATATTTAATTTGTTTTATTTAATTTCATCCTGGTGTAAAGGTTACAATTTGAGGATAAAATCAACATTGATTTTAAATTTTAAGTGAAGAAGTTTTGTGATGCGTTTAAAAAAATTATATAAATAGTAATTCGTTTAAAATGAGTTACCCTTAATTTTTAAATATTTTAAATATGTACATATTAACAAATGTTGATGCATGTATATATTTATGCAACTATAAAGTTTACAATAGTCTGTTGATTGGTATGTAAAAATAGTAAGTTAACATTATCTAATGACTTCCTTAAAAGTACTACATATTTGGTATTAATGTAGGTATTATGGAATGCGAAATAGAGGTAAATAATTTTGTCTTATAATTCTAAATAATGTTCATCTTATTTTAATATAAATTAAATTAAAATATCCTCTACACTTTATTAACTATAATATTTTAATTATTATCATATCCAGTATTTGTTTGCCATATTTGGGGGATTAGAATAACTATGAGGATTAAGAGATTCTCCGACGTTAGGGAATGTGTAAGGATCATTCATGTATTTGTATTCAGTGGATATACCAGCAAGACTCATGTTCAGTGAATTATGTGATGGACTCCAATTTTGTGTGGTTGTAGTATCTATAGGAACTTTGGAATAATCTGTAGGAACTTTAGAGTACTCAGTTTCGTTTGCAGGTAGAGGTTTATCAAATTCGTGCTCGACTGGTTTAACATAAGGATCTTCTCTTGCTTCAACAATTTCTTCTGTGATTTTGTTTTCACCTTCAGTTTCTTTGGGCAGATAATTCATAGGTTTGGCATAGATTTCATTAGTGGGATATCTTGGATATTCATTTCTTGGTATACCGGTGTCTAGTATTTGGTTGTGAGGTGGCCCATTAGTACTGCTTACCAAGTGACTGAACGAGGATCCTGAAGTACTTGGGAAGGCAGCATTTTGGAAAGCTTGGTTCAAGTGTTGTGATTGTGCCATAAGCTGGTTGTAATTGGCGTATTTTTGGTGATGCCAAGCATCGGGATGTTGAGGATGGTGTTGCACAAGAGACGATATTTCGCCAGCAGGATAAGGGCATGGTATTTGGGGCATGGGTAATGGCGCATAGCCTGTGATGCCGGGGCTGGTGTTTGATCCTGTGTGTTTTCTTAAGCGCGCTCTTCGATTTGAAAACCAGACCTGTTTCAAAAGCAGTGTTATAAAATCAAAGTTAACTAACTAGTTTATAAAATCATTTTCAATCAATTTATTATCTTAATTAATGCATTATCTTTTTTTATATGTCGTAAAAAGTATTAGAATTACTGATTAAATCATGATTATTAAATCACTTTTATAAGTTTAAATTTGTGATGATATTCACGCATAGTATCAAACACTTACCCGACTTCCTAATTCAAAACTACCTACTTATTATCTTAAATAATGATGGTAGCCCCGTCAATACTTACTTCGGCCGCAAAGCGTTCTGTTTTGAAGGGTATTTACTTATGTCTCGGGCTGATGCGTTATAGCGACGATTTTGTGTCTATGAGCTCCGGTAACCACTTCACATTACATTTTCACTTCCAAGTAACTTTAAGTTCGGACTAGTAGGTGGCGCATATTACCTATTTCTATCACGAAGCATGTATGCGTTCCAGTTTGAGGGGTGGGTTATATATTTCAATTGAGATTTCGACCTTATTTCTCAAGATTCACGTTGTGAGGCTTTGATAATCATTTAGCACTAAGTGAGCGTTGAAACTATTTAGCTGTCTAAGCTGAAGCATAAATATAGTTTGCCTTGTAATTATAATAAAAAATGTGACCAATAAAGTCCCGCAAAGTTTTGCTGTAAACATGACTGAATACTGAAATATTTGCATGTCGTTTATAGGATCGTACGTTAATGGTACCAATCCAGAAACCTTGTCTGAAGTGACAATAGCTACTGTACAAATATTCAAGACAATCTGAACAACGACCAAAAATAACCAACAAATAGTATATTAACTAAATTAAAACTAAACCTTTACCTGTATTCTTGCTTCAGTAAGTCCTGTCTGAAGTGCCAATTCCTCTCTAGTGTAGACATCTGGGTATTGTGTTCTGTGAAACGCCCTCTCTAATGCATCAAGTTGCTCGCCTGTGAATGTTGTTCGAGATCTACGTTGCTTCCTTTTCAGCGTCAATCCTGGTTCGGAGTCGATATCTGAAGAGTCAGATCCGCGGCCTGCGGATCAAATAATTAAAATTTGTTTCCATAAAATCTAAAAATATTCTGCTGTAGTTAGTACTCTACTTTTCCGTCCACATGATTTTAAGCGGATAACAGAGTCGACAGACATCACAATCTGTATACGAACTATCATCATCTTGAGATAATCGAATTCTCTATTGTATTGTTTTCGTTTTCCAAATCAGAACATATTATGATCGCTTCGCGGCCAAAATCATTAGATGGTTTGCGCAATAAATTGTACTTAATAATAAAAATGTATTACAAATGTATTTTATTTAGAAGACCAAAGCAATTTGTCTATGTCTCTTTTTTTTTAAACTGTCTTTTTTGCTATGGTTTTTAAACCCATGTCATATTTTAATTCGCTTAAATCAAGAGTCGTCGGGCTCGCGGGTCGACCGACCTCATTTATAAATCGGTAGCGGAATCCTACGGAAACAGATTAAAAAACGAGCTCAACAATACACGGCTTTAGCCTCAAAACTGATTTAAAAAAATCGACTTATATTAATAGTCCCTTGAAAGAAGTCAAAATTGAATGAGACGAAAAAATAAGGGCTCAGCGTGGTCTCGAATAAGGAACACCCAGCGAGGCGGTACTTTTGTCGGCACCTTTGCTGTTCGGTTGACATTTTGGCACCATTCAATATTTTGGTGTCGCGAGCTGGATTTATGACATGTAAAACGAATGCGCGATTTTAATGCCATATTACTTTGTTTAGAAATCGAGGTTTGAATTTAACGTGATTGGCTTACTTTATATACATAGTTCAGAGAGCTATTTATTAAGAGCTAGTGCATTTTTTGCACTGCAATGGATATTGTAATCTGTAAGAAAGAGTAATATTTCTTTCATATTTCCTTATATTTTTATTTAATTTCTATTCATAATGGAATACAGAAGATGGAAATACCTATATATAAAATGTACTAAGAAGCAAACAGAATCATAATACAAACCACAAAGAAACATATCCAACCGCGAAAGTTTCGTACGACAAAGAATAAAAAAGAACTCGTTGTAATAAAATGATTTACATTGCTCAAATTCTCCGACCGCCTCGAGAGACAGATTTATTTAGTTTTTTTTGTTCCCCAGTCTTGATCGTAACGTATGAGGCTAAATACAAATCGAAAACATAAAGCGCAACGGTGATTCAAAACTTTATTGCTACGTCGTAAAGTTCATTTTGTACTTCATTGTCGTCGAGCAGTAAAGTAGAACTATGAGGGTTTTATGTATTGAAGAAAGGTGAGAGGTTTAGGCGTGTTTGGTACGCGGGAGAGAGCGAGAGAAACTTTGGCGATTGCCGAAATGTGACCCCGTGAAGACCGCCGGCACCGCACAAAAGTCATAATTTGGAAGTTGAAAGAGTGGCGGCGGCGGCTTAACACCTTCATAATCTGGCTTCATTAAAACGGTCGGGTCGGCCTTTGTTTCAGCGGGTTGTTTCCATTGTAACATATGGACGGATTAGCACGCTCGCCGAGTTCTGTGGGCGTCGCTGCCTTCATTCTCGACGTGTGGTTTCAGTTTGCTAATTGATATACGAGTATCAATATGGCAATGGTGTGTTTGCTTGTCTAATGAGCGTTGAAATTTTCGTAAAACCATTGATATTTTTAAATTCAATCTATTTGAAAATGCCGTTCCCAGAAAAGTTGGAAGTTGAAATTTTGAGAGATTAAAAAAATGCTTGAACTCCATTAGATAACGGAATTAGAATTTATGCCCGTTTTATAATATACATCATTAATGTGATATTTTACTGGAATCTTTTTACTGGTGGTAGGACGTCTTGTGAATCCGCGCGGGTGGGTACCACCGCCCTGCCTATTTCTGCCGTGAAGCAGTAATGCGTTTCGGTTTGAAGGGTGGGGCAGCCGTTGTAACTATACTGAGACCTTAGAACTTATATCTCAAGGTGAGTGGCGCTTTTACGCTGTAGATTTCTATGGGCTCCAGTAACTACTTAACAAGCAGGTGGTCTGTGAGCTCGTCCACCCATCTAAGCAAAAAAAAATTATGATTATAAAATTTATAACCTTCTGTAGTGTAAATATAAAAGTGAAATATAAAATTTCCAAGTAATTATAGCATGGGTAATAATTAACAGAGCAAATGTTAACAATAGTAAATTAATCATATCTCTAGAAGGCTGCGAGATGCATCGTCGAATACTCGTTGAATTGAAATTAAATACACTGCTTCAAGTTTCCCTAGAATCAATAAAGCTATTTGCGGATGAAGGTTGTGAAGCGAAACTGCGATACGTACATATTAATATTATTATGAAAGAAAATATTTTTATCGTAAGAACTTTTTGCTCATATTTTTTATCAGGATTTTTTTAATTCGCCTAGTAGCGAGACTGTATGATTTTTTATCTTTTTTACCATCATCAGTTCCACTTATTTCTGCCGCGAATCAATCTTGCCGACTCCCTAAATCAAGATGGGCAATAGCTTTCATCGGTGACTATGGTGGCCGCTTGTTGTCTTGTTTTGAAATTCTTTTCTGTTAATGAGTCTTAACTTTTAACTTTTATGTATGTAGTTCGTTGTAGGAATATGCATATAATAAAAATAATTATAGATTTATTCTTATATAGTACAATATTGTGCATAATGTTGCATATGCGAATTGTTGGAATAAAATTGCTAGAAATAGTTGCCTATTTGATTGCGTTTCCATGATTTATTTTTGGCTCAAGGTATTTTTAAGGTCTCATGATTTCTGATTAAGATTTTGTTTTCAGCAAAAGAGCAATAATAAAAGTTTAAAAGGTTTAAAAAAAAACTTAATTTAGTCAAAAATAATCTTTTTCAATTAAAATGTTTTAGAATTGTAATGTTGTTAAATGAACATAAATCAAATGATAAATTACGTGAACAAAACGTTTTAGGCGTCAAAATATTATTTTAAACAGAAGTTTTACTATTAGCTAATATTAAAAAAATATGTTTTAAATTTCAGACTGTAAGACACCATGTACCAACCATCTGTAAATTATAATATTGATTTAGAAATGAGTCAAATCAATATTCAATTTGTGTATGTAAAATTATAATATTGATTTACAAATGATTCAAATCAATATTCAATTTGTGTATACATATTTATCAGGTATTTATTTAGTGTCAGTAAAGTCTCAATCAAAAATCTTCTCTCCTCTCTGAGAAAGCTTCACCGGCTATTGCGATGAGACTAAATTGTCTTCCACTAAATTCAACGTTCAAATAAAAGCTTGGTGTGTTATATTGCTAGTGTCCGCTCACTATAAGAATACGTTCGTGACGGAAAGAACGATGCCGTTATTTATTAACTTTACTAACTATAATACGTATCATGAAATATAAACCAATAACACTATCTCAGCTGTCAGACAATAGTGCTCGGTTACACTGGACGTACATTCATTTTGATGATTTTTTTCTTGTATGTATAATTTTAGTCGAAAGGATGCTACATGAGAATACTTTAATAGTTGCTTTCTCGAGCTATTGATTCCCATTATCCGTTTTCATCTCATTTTACTGTCGAGCTATTGATTCCTATTATCTGTTTTCACCTTATTTTACCAATCTTCTTCTCCCGCTAATTCCTATTGTAAATAGGGTGTGTTTTGAAAGTGCACGGTCTTTATCTACCTTCTTATTAATTCTTTTGCCCCTTTCCATTTATAATCGATCGTTTTTAATTTGGTACTTTACCTACGTAATTATTAATTTCAAGATCTCAGTAACTAGAGTCTCATAACTTGTTCACAATAAACTTTTAGGTTTACATTTCTTTACGCACAGAGAGTATGTTAGGATTTCGTCTTTAGCGTAGTGTTAGATAACCAAGCACACTCTTCTATGTTGAAAATTTTGATATTTTTTTACGAAATCCTTGCGTATTGTATGTACGTGGAGTCAATTTTTTTTTAACAAGCACCTGGAATACTTTGGTCTAATTTCGTTTTATTGTTATTGATCGCAAATTAGCCAATGGATTTCCAGATGTTAGGGACTAGTGTCGTTGAAGGATATCAAGGGCCATTGCAAGGAGCACTGCCAATACGTTGAGAATAACACCGGGGTAGAAACTGTATTCGGATTGGCGTAATGGTGGCAGTCCAAATCTAAGAAAATTCTAGCAACGTGCTCTGATTTCAGAATTCGCAGTCCAAAATTATTTCCGCTTCTCTTCGGATATATTCGGATCGCGACATCGACCAGTGCTACGAATGCAATAATAAAAAATGGGTAATACGTATGTAAGTTCAGTCTACGAACTTTATGTTAGCATTAGCATGCTGCTTTAAACTTCACAGTTGATTAAAATGTTGACGTAAGCTATAACATAAGATAAAATGTGAGATATTATATCTAATGATTTGATTTTAGTTTTATGCCACCGTGAATGCAAATTGCTCTACTCGTAATTTTTGATGACTTGTGATTTTGCAGCGAGACGGGTACTTGTAATGAGTTAAAATGATCATAAAATTGTCAATCCATGACTAATATTAAGATTTAGTGACCTACTAATATTTATGTTTTAATATGTGTTTTTAAAATGATTTGTGTTTGATTTCTATTTCTGTTTACTACGTACGGTACTTTGTTCATTATTTTTTTATTTAAAATATGTCATATTTATGACTTGCCCGTAGTCGGTAATAAGAAATACGTTTTACGAAGTACTGCAAATATTATTTTAGTTTCCTATTTAGTGTGGATGATACCCAGTATTTCTATAACATAAAATGTCATCTATATTGTTATGTTCGATGAAAGATATATAAACTAGATATAAAGATATATAGAAACGTGTAGAACAGCTCAGCATAAGTCACTAAAAGGCATCGAAGCGGCACAAGGGAAAACCCAACAGGTATTGACAAAATTCTATACACAATTAACATGCTGACAAAATAGGCGACCAGAATAATACAACAATGACACTACAACCAAAACATGTAACGTTGATTGTTGATGTTTTCAGCACTATCGAGTGCACTGCAGGCGACAGCGGCCGGCTTTTGGTGGTCATTTCTGGAAACGATTTAAAACGCAAGCCGCCATTTGACGATTCGTGAACCGAACTCCAATATTTCAAACGACAACAATGACTGTACGATATTAGTGTGCGGAAATCGATATTTTTTTTTAACAGCCGTGAGAAACCTTTGACAGGTTGCGGCGCGGCGTGCCGATAAAGAACATTCGGGTTTTATGGGAAGTCGTTGTCGTATTCCTGGGCCCAAAGTACGGAAGTTGGCTGAAGCTTGTTTATTATAAACTGGTCTTACTGATTATCTTTTTAACTATACCGTTTTTTTTTGTAGTATTTGAATAAACTGGTGGTAGGACCTCTTGTGAGTCTGAACGGGTAGGTACCACCAGCCTGCCTGCCTATTTTTGCCATGAAGCAGTAATGCGTTTCGGTTTGAAGGATGGGGCAGCCGTTGTAACTATACTTGAGACCTTAGAACTTATATCTCAAGGTGGATGGCGCATTTATGTTATAGATGTCTATGGGCTCCAGTAACCACCTAACAGCAGGTGGGCTTTGAGCTCGTCCACCCATCTAAGCAATAAAAAAAACGTACTTCCTACTATGTGTTATGCGTTTACTGAGCCGCACAACACCCCCAACTTGAGTAGTATGTATGTACGAATATTCATCTTGTACTTTAGATTATGAATAATATTGCTTTGCTGTTGGATACACTGCGGGCTTTATTTATTAATATTCTAATAATAGACTCATTTAAACTCTTATTTGTTTTATATACTATTATTAGCGATAACTAAAAGGGTGCGAATATAAGCCAATTAGACCCATATTATTCAATGTCCTTTTTAGTTTAAATAATGCACAGCAAGACCTCCTCCTCAGAGTAGCTGCTGACTGGATCATTTTTGGAGCCGAGCATGAGCATGTGGCTTCGAAGCATAGTGCCCGTTCATGGGCTATTATGTTTTTAAGTGTGACCTATTCAATTTTTTTTCCCACCTGTGCTGATAGCCTTGAGAGGCTAGTTCAGCGTAACCTTAACTAGTATGTGCGCTCAAACCGGAAACATAAGTAGTAGGTGGGCTCAAACCAGAGTGATGCTAACACTGACCCTAGCAAGAGCAGTGCTTCGCAGAATCCACCACCAGATCGGCGACGCGACCCACTGAGAAGATCCGGCGAGAAACTCAGTGGGCATCTATTAAAATATAGTTGAATATGAAGATTCTAACCTCCAAGTATGCCGTCGATGCTATAGTCTTTCTTTCCATCCGGGTCCCTCGAACCTCCTCTAAGCAGTCGGGATATTGACGATATGCTGGGTGGGTCCGTGACGCCTTCCTGAAACAGTTAGTATATCATCTAAAGTTTATCTTTTCAGTATAATGTAGGTTTGGCAATTTAGGTTGCAAAGCTCTCAGGATTTTCTAGTATAGTCATGTTTTTATTGCTATCGATTTCTTATACAATTCATTAAATGTTTATTATGTTTCAGTTTATTAAAAAACGCGATTGAAAATTGCGTGTTTAAATCATTCGGTTCATTGAATTTACCTTAATTAACTTTTCTCTTATTTCCCATGAAAATATACCCGGATTTTGTCGTTTGAGTTCTTCGATTCTAGCTTCTACTTCAGGTGTAGCGACCCTCGGCTTCGATCCGCCAATCACGCCAGGTCTAATCGAACCGGTTTCCTGAACGGGATAGACAATTTATTTATGAATTATTTTTGAAAAAATCGGTAACGTTCACAAGATGTTTTACGATTTTTTTTTGTTTTCTTACAAGGTAAGCGCGTTGTACGTAAGTTGTTTTAGTCTTACTATACGTATTTAAGTATAGATGTCATAATTTTAGAATTAATATCAAAACGGTAAAAACATTGTACCTACAGAAATAGGTTTTGTTTTTTTTTTTGCTTAGATGGGTGGACGAGCTCACAGCCCACCTGGTGTTAAGTGGTTACTGGAGCCCATAGACATCACGCAAATGCGCCACCCACCTTGAGATATAAATTCTAAGGTCTCAAGTATAGTTACAACGGCTGCCCCACCCTTCAATCCGAAACGCATCACTGCTTCACGGCAGAAATAGGCAGGGTGGTGGTACTCACCCGCGCGGACTCACAAGAGGTTCTACCACCAGTGTTTTTTTTATTCGCTTCTACGGATGGTTTTAAATGATGATATGGTAGAAATCAACTGCATTGTAATAACACTTGACTCCTTCTTGCATTAATGTTAAAAAAAACAATAACTAAGGTTATTATATAACAATTTTATTGTTAGCTCATATTTAATTCTCAGAAGATCTTAGTATTTTACCAATTAAGCATAATGAAATGAAAGAGAAAAGTGGTATGGAATTAATTCTCTTAAATCAGAAACGTTTTTAGATTGTATCAGCGGTGGAGGACAATATCAAATTACGTACTAATACAATGGAGAATGTCAACAGGAAGATTGATACCTGTGTATTTTTGATGGCAAGTAAATTTAATAATGCGGCTTTCGTATACTCGTAGATACGCCTGTCATGTCATTGCTTTTATTTCTTACATTTTATTTTTGTGAAGCAAAATTAGAACATAAATACTTTTTATTTCAGGCGTTTCATTTCATTAAATTATAAAAGAATTTACTATTAATACACTCTAGATTCCTAATTGATGATTTGAACATAATCACGCTGGCTTATCAGAAAATAATGAACAATAATGAATGTACATCAACACGTGTAAACGACATTCTTTAAAAGCTAATGTATCGATGTGGATTAATATATGAATGGGGATTAAAATTTCAATAGAACCTTTAATATACTAATTAATACTAATAAGTGTTTTTACAAAATATTTGAAAATTATGTTTCTTCTTCTCAATCGTGTCATTCGTGACACAGTGGTCGTGATTGTCAAAACTATGTTTACTGAAGATTAAATTAATTACTTTTTAATATTTGTTAAAAAAATTCTTCTCTTCAAACATATTTAGTTACCTAGTATTTTCACAATGGAACTCATAAACAGGCAGTGGCAGAGGTCGCACCCTACACTCATAGAGCGTGAATAAACGCTTCCTGAGTTAAACAATCGCCATTATTGCCTATGCAGTGAAAACGAACCTTCAGGCTTCGTTGGTTCGGGGATCAATGGCGATTGTTTGCCGATCGAACAGCTCGCGTGGGCCAACTTACGACAGGGATGCCAACATAATATAATATAGCAGCGTTCGTGTAGCCGTAGTTTATATAGCGTACGTAAATAAGAGGGATTGATTTTATAGAAACATTTTTTATTTTATTTGTTTAAAATCTGTGACTACATTTACGATGATTACGCTTTTGAATACTTTGAGAAATGTAATTTTTTATTTTTTATTGCTTAGATGGGTGGACGAGCTCACAGCCCACCTGGTGTTAAGTGGTTACTGGAGCCATAGACATCCACAATGTAAATGCGCCACCCACCTTGAGATATACGTTCTAAGGTCTCAGGTATAGTTACGAAGGCTGCCCCACCCTTCAAACCGAAACGCATTACTGCTTCACGGCAGAAATAGGCAGGGTGGTGGTACCCACCCGCGCGGACTCACAAGAGGTCCTACCACCAGTAAATTTTTGTAGATTTACTTCGGTTTTGGCGAATCGTAGACATGATTAAAATTTACCTTTACGATTTAATCTTTCGTTTTTTTATTGTCATTAAATTATTTTTGAGGTTTGGAGCATTCTACAGTTTTCTTGCTAACGGTCGATCTTAAGTGTAATAAAGCTTATGAACGCGAGCGAACAATGGTTATTGAAATTCGAAGTAACTTTAAATGAGCTCTCGTAGTCTTGAAACCCTTTTATTTTACGTGTTTAGTACGTTTAGTTACTACCTACATCATTTTGCGCATTAGTTCACAAAACCGACTCGGTTCTTGTTACTTCGCTTTGAGGATTGCTACTAGATTAGGGATAAGCCCGTTGTTATTTCGAGACAGGTTGTTATTTTGAGAGAGCTTGTTATTTTAGATCTTCACTAAATCGACTGTAATGGGACGTGAAAGTATGTATTAAGTGAAGATTCCTGGAAACCATTTTGTTTGAAAATTCTGTTTGAAAAATTATTTCAGTCATGTCAACCTTAATAAAGAAAGTTCTAGAAAGTTCTATACCGAAAGGGATGTTTTTATTCTCTTATAAAATAATATTATATGTATTATGTATTGTATCTGAAACTATTAATCTTCTTCTAAGATTTAATTGCAGTGTTTACTATATTTATGGGGCGTTTAATATTAAATTATGTACGATTTTAAGGTTTTAGTAATAAAGCACATAGGGCGTTGGTCGTGAAGCATTGACTCATAAAAATGTTTGTATTGACGAAACTATTATCTGATGTTGTTTTTAATGTGTTACAACTATAAATTAGTTGTTACAACTAATTTAAGTTGTGATTATAAAAAAAAGGAAAACGTCGTATAAAACTAAACACTCTTTGTTTTCGTACAAAATTCAATTTCAGTAAAATTTTAAATAACATATCCCAAAATATACATTACATATCTATATGTTTGTTTCATAGATTCATGTAATATAATATTCCTTTTTATGAATATCTACTTCTTGATATTATAAAAGTAATTCTAAACAAGTCGGTTATAAAATAGAAGACAATAAGCGCCTGTGTCGTATACATCTTGGATATATTGAATAACGAAGCAAATTGCTCACCTGGTATCGATTGAGTATTTTGGACACGCAACCGTGTGAGACGCGTAGCTGTCGCGAGATAACGCAGGGCCTTACGCCGGCTGCGGCCATTTCCACTATTTTCAACCTGATGTGGTTTGGTAGAGGTCGACCGTTGATAAATAGACCTCCCAGTTGATTCACTCGACCCTGGCCTATTAGAGGAAAAAAAATAATGAATTACTGTTTTTTACTGGTGGTAGGACCTCTTGTGAGTCCGCACGGGTAGGTACCACCACCCCGCCTCTTTCTGCCGAGAAGCAGTAATGCGTTTCGGTTTGAAGGATGGGGTAGCCGTTGTAACTATACTGAGACTTAGAACTTATATCTCAAGGTGGGTGGCGCATTTACGTCGTAGATGTCTATGATCTATAAAACCGGGTGGGCTGTGAGCTCTAATCTAAGCAATAAAAAAAAAAGATCTGGCCCATGGAAAATAAATGCAATAATAACTTAATACAGTGTTCAAAATGTGTTTGTGGGTTTGTTCTCTTTTCAAGAAGCATCGGAGCAAGGAATAAACACGATGTTTTAAAAAAATGTCTTGATTACAGGCGGGATAGGAGCATGGGCAAAGTTGTTTTTTTATGCAGCAAAATTACGCATTTTAATATTTCAGAAACTAAGAATTGGGCTGTAACAATCGTTCGTCTCACTTTTACAATGGCTTTTAAGTTGAGGATTTTTAGGTAATTTGATCGAAAGAGACAAAATATGATATGGGTTAGAATTAGTTAGCTTCGTTGAGTTTTTTAATAAAAGCTTCAATTCAATATACATTAGATGCAATTGGATTCAATTGTCATATTTTTATCAGAATAAATGTACCTATTGTATACTTTTCGTTTGTTAATCTCGTCTTTGCTGTTGCAGAGTTAATATATTTTTCATGGTTAATTTATACAAAGTGGACACAGGTGTTTTATAATGTTTTTTTTTTATGTTCGTATTTCAGCATTATCTTGAACGATCTGTGAAGAAACTAGTTTCAGTGTAGCTTCGAATATGATAAAATAGCAAAATACATTAGCTTAGGGATCACAAAGTACACATATAGGGATCGAAACTTTGAATAGAAAATAAAAATGTATTAAATTAAAAACGCTTAGTTTTTTATTTCCAAGGAGCGCAGAGAACATGGAGACAATATTACATATTAGTCTATTGTTTAACGACAAAGTTAACTTATAAAACTTGATTCTGACTGATATTGCAACACATTTGTGTTATAGAAGTATAATAATAGGACTAACCCAATCCCAAGTACCAGAGTACAATCATACGTCGACGCTCTTTATCCTATCACAGGTTCACCATAGTAGAATTAACTCTTCTATACGGAATCACTGCATTCGTTCAGAATGCGTTCTAAAGCTCAATATCGTCAAACGCCATTCAGCTCTGGAATGAACTCCCCTACGTGAGAATGTGCTTCTTCAAACAAGGGTTAAAGACAGCCTCTAGTGGTAGGCAATGTTTTGGTTGTGCCCTTGATATAACCGATTTCCCTGGGCATTAGTAACAGAACCTGGCCCCCAGCTACATTCGTAGGTTTTTATTAAAAAAAATTATTGCCCTTGTAGGCAGACGAGCATACGACCCACCTGATGGTGAGTGGTTACCGTCGCCCATAGACTTCAGCAATGCCAGGGGCAGAGCTAAGCCGCTGCCTACCGCATAATACTCTCCACAAGCCTCTTTTAAAGAAGGATATGTCATAGCGCTCGGGAAACACCGTGGAGGGGAGCTCATTCAATAGCCGGATGGTACGTGCCAAAAAAGATCTCTGGAAACGCACTGTCGATGAACGCAGCGGTTCCAGATGATATGGATGAACTCTGCTCAGGCTATAAATAAATGTGTTACGATAGGAATGATACAACAGCCGCTGTGTCAATGTAAGTTAGATTTAAATATGCCTTTAAAGTGAGCAGTATTTTGGAGGATTTTCGAAATTCAAACTAAAATTGGGGGGCTGAGACGGCCGTCTAGCTATGTAAATGAAAACTTCTATTTGCAGAATGTCTCAATGAAAAAGACAAACAACGACAAGTTCTTAATTAATCGCATTAAAAGTTCGTGCTAGTCTAAGTTAAAGTGGTTTTTGTAACACGAAAAAGTGCATTCAGTTTTATTTCCCAGTAGAGTCGCAATTTTACTATTTTCACCGCTAAAACTTAGTCATCAATCTGGTCCTCGAATTATTAAAGTGTTGTTCGCCCTTAAAAGCAACAATGTTCTATCACTAAATACTCCGACGGCAAACTTTTGGGGAGAACTATAAAACTATGTTTATTGTTTTTCAGATACCAAACGATGTACATTTAAATTGTTGTGTATAATATGGCCAAATGGTGTTTAGTTTGAACTAAACACGTAACTCTTATTATAAAGTATTTTAGTGGGATGTATGTACATATAAGAAAAGGAGTCTTAAAAGTAACATAGCAGTACTAAGAATCAGTCTAAAATTTAGACTTTATCTACGTAATGTAAAAAGAAGCCTTAAAAGCATTTGCAATGGATGAATCCGCAAATGAATCTGTCATTTTAGACATGATGCTAGTTCGTTTAAAAAAGATTAAGATTTTAGTGTGAATTTAAGGATATCTTTGATAATTTTAATTGGCTTTAATTTACAATTCGAAACAAGTAGATACCAATAACTATCACTACATAGTGTAGAACAAAGTCGCTTTCTCTGTCCCTATATCCCTATGTATGCTTAAATCTTTAAAAATACGCAACGGATTTTGATGCGGTTTTTTAATAGATAGAGCGATTGAAGAGGAAGGTTTAAATGTATAATAACATCCATTAATACAATAATAAATTACAGTTTCCGAAGCGAAGCGAGGGCGGGTCGCTAGTTGGTAATAAAATAAATAATATAAAGGGAAGAATATGTAATTCCTTACCTACCCACACATCCATACCATTTTGGTGTCGTTCCATAATGGTATGCAAGTCAATATACTGTTTCCATTCACGAACACAAATCAGTACCACATAACTTCTTGTTCGAACATTTTATTACAACACTAGCTCTCTTGAGGGAAAAAAATACGCGGGAACTTTTAGACGTCACTATGATATATATATGTTTACATTGAACAAAGCGAACGAAATCGAAACACATAATTCAAATTGATTATCACCCATATCTATTTACATAATTAAAGTGACATGTATAATTAATTATTGTGTCATAAAAGTTTTGTTTAGAACGTATTTTCGTCTTCAAATCGTCGGAGACGTCTAGTCTAGTCAACTATAGGAATCAATAAAACGATAATTTTTTTTTTGAGTTTAAAAAAAAGTTCGATAGATCGTCTTATCTTTTTTTAGTGCGCGTGAGTGCAGTAGAAGAGGTTGTTTAGAGAACTGAGAGTGCCGGTGTGTTCGTACGGAGAGCATGGACCCTGTGTGTGTGTGTGCGCGGTGCTCGGCGAGGAGGCTGTGTTGAGGCCTGTCTATCTGTGTGGGTGAGTGCACAAAACACTCCCACTGAACAAGTGTGAGGTATATAGGAAGACCACATTTTGTGTGTCAGTAGTTTTTCAAGTTTTATCTGCGTTCGTTTCTCCGTGTGTTAATTTAATTTTCGTCATATAAGTATAAGTTAATCCAAACAAAACAAAACGAAGATAAATTAACCACTATCTAATATCACGATGGTATATCAAAACTTTTTTTGACACCTACTCATAGCTTCTTAACCAAATCTTTTTTAAATTAGTGAAAAAACTATTACATGAAATAGAGATAAAAATTATTAAATTATTGGTCACCCCAGTGTAGTATCAAAGTCGGCGCATAAGCAGCTGGTGGGGCCAAGTTCTGCCCCCTCTCTCAGATGGAATCGATAGAATTGCATCTGTCCTCTTCTAATGAAATATGTGAGGCACGCGGTGGATTTAATTCACGTTTAATCACTAATTTTGTTTCAACCGTATTATTATCAAATAGGATTAACAGGATTATCCGTAATTTTTATTGTTTTTTTAATGCTATTAGTTCTAAAGCTTTTAATTGAATGTGTGACGGTAATTTAATGGACTTAACAACAAATTAAGTTAAATCTGTTTACGTTTATTATTGTAACTTAAATAAAGCGTTTCAATTTGTAAGCTTTTGGAAATAGATCCGGTCGTTATAGACCTTAATCAAAACTGGATTCATTGTTACTAAAATATTAAGATGAAGTTAACGTATAAATATGACTTAGTTTATGGGAATTGTTTAGGTTCCAATATAGTATCGGATCAATAAGGGGCGAAAAGTAATAACTATAGTAGAATTAAATTGCGTCGTAATGGGTAAATGTTGGTGGTAATCTATATATATAAAAATGAATTGCTGTTCGTTAGTCTCGCTAAAATTCGAGAACGGCTGGACCGATTTGGCTAATTTTGGTCTTGAATTATTTGTGGGAGTCCAGAGAAAGTTTAAAAGGTAGATAAATATGAAAATGCTTTTAAATTTATTTTATACAAAAGTTTAGGTCTTTTATTTATCGATTGAGGCACTACGAAGTCTGTCGGGTCAGCTAGTGTGTGATAAATTTAATGGTCTGTTCGACTGTTAATCACAAGATACGAGTTACTGCTAACTTATCATTCGTCGTATAATAATTAGTTTTCACATGTATTTTAATACTTTAAGTACCGGTGGTCGGGAAATCGCGTGGAAGGATAACAATATCTTTCCTATTTCTGAAGCAAAATCCGACGTTACATTTTAAAGGGTAGATACAATATACAGTAATTGAGACTTCGATCTGAAGTGACCACAGCATTTACGTACATCTCTATAGGCTCCTCTTAATTGAACCAAGAGCTTATCTAACAAGTTCATCATCAGCTTCAAACAATCTTAAAGTAACATAGCGTTTTCTTCTTCGTATTCACTATTTACTTACTACTCACTACTCTTGTGAGTCCGCGCGGGTAGGTACCACCGCCTTGCCTATTTCTGCCGTGAAGCAGTAATGCGTTTCGCTTTGAAGGGTAGGGCAGCCGTTGTAACTATACTTTAGACCTTAGAACATATATCTCAAGGTGGGTGGCGCATTAACGTTGTAGATGTCCATGGGCTCCAGTAACCACTTAACAGTAGGTGGGCTGTGAGATCTTTCACCCATCTAAGCAATAAAAAAATAAAATAAATAAAAAACATTTCTAACAACCAATTTTGAAGGTGAAACTCTACGTGAAAAAAAAACGTGTTTTTTTTCAAAATTATTCAGTATTTAGAGCATGATTCAATAATCAACGCATAAAACCCCTTAGTCGTCCAGCAATGAAAACTAGAAAGTTATCAAAGTGTCAGCGCGGTAACCGTACTCGTCGAACTCGACAAAGAGGTCGGCGTGCAACCTAACCCATGCATCAGCCCGCTGAGTTTCTCGCCGGATCTTCTCAGCGGGTCGCGATTCCGATCCGGTAGTAGATTCATTCGCGAAACAATTGCTCTTGAGTTGTTAGGTCTCCTTCGGAGGCGCTCGGGCAGTTGTTAGCAAATCCCGCCCCTCCTGGCTGAGCCTTTGCTCGCCCACCTGTCCTGGTGAAACTGGAAAGGCCTTCGGGCCACCAGTAAACTTTCAATCATANAGCGGGTCGCGATTCCGATCCGGTAGTAGATTCATTCGCGAAACAATTGCTCTTGAGTTGTTAGGTCTCCTTCGGAGGCGCTCGGGCAGTTGTTAGCAAATCCCGCCCCTCCTGGCTGAGCCTTTGCTCGCCCACCTGTCCTGGTGAAACTGGAAAGGCCTTCGGGCCACCAGTAAACTTTCAATCATAAAAAAAAAAAAAAAAAAAAGTAATAAACGTGAGATTTATACCATTTAAGTATTTGAATAGTAATAAGTCTTATTATTATTTATTTTGTAAAAAAACATATTATTAGCATACAGCAAATGTAGTGAAGAATGTTTAAGTAAATGTATGCTTTAGAATATTTTTTTATTTTCATACACATATTAAGAACCGCTTGAAGTGTAATAGGCTTTTTTTCCACAGGCGAAAATCACCGGATCCTCACCCGCGCGGCAGGGTAGGTGGGAGCTGAACCTCACTAAAATCTCCTGCCGCTCACAGCTGGCGCCCTACTCCAGACCGGGCCTGAGCCCAGTCGGGGCTATTTAAACGGCGGGACAGGGTTGACGCAGAGCATATTACATTCATCCCGCCGTCCCACAGACGCCGGACCGGCGATCGGCGTCGGCACGACCACAAGTTGCCTCGGTCAGCGGGCCGGGAGCCCGCTTTGATGGCGCCTCGATACACCTTCCCCCGAAGCGGTCGGGGGAACGCGGTCTACCATCACCCGGCTTCCTATTGTAAGCGAGTGTGCAAAGCATGCCGACCCCCTGCTCGGCGGTGGCGGATTTCTGCGTAGTGAGGAGAGCTTTGCTTCAATCGCCCCGCCGTCTTCTTCTGCGAGATGGTGCACTCGCAGAAGTTGAGCATAGCGTTTTAGGATTCATCGCCGCCAAACATCGACGCCACGACGCCAGGCAGCGACAAGTCCAGTCCTATCTTTGCGACCCGGACGCGGCGCTGCGCCTCCCAAGCGAGGCAGACAGCGAGCGTAAGCTCCGCCGTGTCCAGCTCGCGTCCACAATGGTGGCACCTGTTCCTCGGCTCAGTTCCTATCCGGTGCAGGTACTTCCCGAAGCATCCGTGCCCGGTCAGCACCTGCACTAGACGAAAGGTGAGGCGTCCTCCGCCACGATTCACCCAGTCATCAAAGACCGGGTAAACCGTCTCGACGATCCGTAGACGCCTCGTAGGGTTGGCCAACTTTTTGGTTCTCAAATAGGCAAAGCATCTCATTTATTTCACAGATAATTTTAGGATAAATTTAAATGAAGCAAAAAAAGGAACGTATTCATTAATTAAAGGATACCACCCAATTTATTATAATTTGAAAATGAACCTTAAAATTCATGAACACTTTATAATAACATATGTAACTACATAAAATTAAAGAGTATTTGAGTCGTCGTCGAAATAAATACCGAATATATTAAAAAAGGCTACATTAACTTTTTCAGTTGAAAAAAATGATTTTTTTTCTTTTTTCTACCACAGACGTTAGAACTCTGAAGCGATTGAACGATTTTTACGGAGGATTCCGTTCATTGTCTTTCGGAGGGTGATCGAAGTAAATTGTTATCACATAAATATTTGGAAATTGCAAACTGAATTATAAAATAAGTAAATAGCGAATTTTCTTACAATATGCGTATACAGTTTGTTCTAATTATATCTTCAATCAAGTATTGAATAATTTTATTTAATAATTGATTTTTTTCATGAAGAAGGTTAAAGTTATTAAGGAGTCCTAATTATAAAACTTTCATCTTAAACTACATGATAGATAAAAATAACTTTCATGGATTTAAAATTTTGGAAAAATACAAGTTTTAGTGAAAAAGAAAGAAGTTGACAATTTTTTTCGAAGAAATTAGATAATTAAATTACTAATAATAATTAAATGAAATAGGTTTTTGAAAATACGATTTTTATGAATTCTGCTTATCTTGCGTAGTTCGATAGAGGAACGAAAATTTTTATCAAAATTTCTGGTAGTATCTATGTAGTATCAAACATCTAGTGTCTATTTTTTAAATAACGGGTATAATATAAAGGCGTAAAGGTATAAAGGCGGTAGTTCTTTTTGACGTTCATCAAGTATGTATTTTCATTTATGTTGAATAATTTTTTTTTATTTGATTTGATTTAAACATTCACTAAAAACAGGCTGACGAGGGGCTTTTCATCAGTATGTATATGTGTATATATTAATGGCATATTATAAAGTTAACATAATAATATATAGCAGATAACAAAATGCCGAGCCACCAGTATTCAATATTAGATTTAACTACACCAGCATTATTGTCCGTATAATGGTAAAAATTTATTAAAATATGGTTTTGTAAAGCAATTTAGATTTCAACAGTATAGCTTAATATAGATGAAAAATCATTCCAACTTTTAATGAGGCATTTAAAAACTATACGAGTATTATTGGGCAACTTCTGTGCCACAATTTTTGCGATATATTATAATTTCTTAAAGTAATCTGATTTAGTCTAAAAATCAAAATAAAAACGAAATCCGTAAAGAATTTTAGTGTATAAACAGAACTATATGTCAAATAGCAGATATCATACGTAATATAACATGAGGTTTTTGTTAGTGCTGTTGTAGCTACCAAAATTGTTAAAACAGATCATTTACAAACAAAATTTTGTTATTACTTTTGCAATTACGAATACAAACGCATATAACAAGAATAGTATATGTATCTGTTTGCGTAAAAACTTGGATGATGGGGCGCCATTTATATTATAATACAATACAATTTGAACAATTGTGTTTTCAAAGCTGCATTATAAATAATAAACAATCCTTAAGTTTGTGTATCGTATTTATCAACTATTTAAGAAACGTCTTTTGCATATCGAATT